AGAAATGCTTGATATTATATCGCTTCATTAGCTGTTTAAAGGTTGCATTATAAAACTCTTTGCCTTCATCTGTTTGTAGTTTCACAGGGATCCTACCCTCACTAAGTATATCCTCAAAAGCAGCTGATACAACAGTCCCAGTCTTGTTTGTTAGACATCTAACCCATGCGTATTTTGAGAATACATCTATACATGTTAGCAGATATCTCACATTATCATTATCTGCCACATATTCACACATGTCTACCAGATCGGCTTGAAACTGTTTGTCGACCCCTGTCACCAATACTCTATTTCTCGGGAAATGGATCCTCGCAGGTTTATGGAGTGTGTAAGTGTCGTCTTGTTCTAAATAATGTTTGACCTGAGATAGTGGAGGTGTTACACCTGATGCTTCCCCTGCCACTATACGTAGCTTATTTAAACTGGCCAACCCCGCAGAATGGGCTTGATCATGAGATATTTTTTGCAATGTGCTTTCCATGATTTACAAACCACAAATGACTAAGATGTTGATGTTAACAAGGCTTTTTTATTTAATTTTCACAAAGACACAATCACAGACAATGGATACTTGAACAGCCCACATTAAACCAGATGTAACCCAGATGTAACCCTCACATACACTGAGAAAAATAAAGTCGTCTGGGTTGCGATTGAAACGATCAGCCTCAACCCTGTAAAGCTCAGGGCCTGATGCACTGTTCCACTGGGAAACATACAGCAGCTCTGGGAAGCCCACATTGTCCAGGTCTGCACACACTACGGTGCGGAAGAGCTTCCAGTTTTTAGTAGACATGACTTGGGGTTCCCCCCAAAACAATCCCTCGCCACAATCTACACTAAGCACAACTGCCCCTTCGGTATATTTAATGGCATACACATACCCTTCGGCGCCTCGATATTCTAACTTAAATACAGTTCCATCTACGGCGTTTTCACAGCGTTGCTTTTTACGTTGAGGACCCCGACTGCATACTCCTGAAGACATACCTAGAGCGGTTGTGGCATGGGCGATGTCCTGGCTGGGTGTCATGGTTGATGCAGATGTCATTCCGTGCTCCATAGGTCGATGCGTTGGGGATCCTTAGCGCAATGTGTCGGTGCTCCTCAGGCCGTGGCGGTGATGCTCTTAGAATGTGAAAGGATCACTTTTATACCTATACAACCTAGCACATCCCACTAGGAGGAGTCATTCCCGCCCAGAGGGTATGAACAAGCATAACCGGTAGCACACCTGAACGCGCATGCGCACACACACGAAACTGGTCAAACCGGTTGTCAAACCGGTTGTCAAACCGGTTTGGTTGGCCGCCATCTTGGACAGGTGCCATCGTATTACTACTCTGCTGCTTTCACACACCTGCATGCACACTCTGTCCCCTCAGAGGAACCAGCTCCTTGTAAAGTCTATAAAAACCGCACACACACAAGCTCCTCTCTAGATATCCCTGACAGCAGAGCTGCCTCTTAGTTACATGTTGTAGGATTAAAGAAATTATTTTACTGCTACTGTTCATAACCATCATCTTTATCATTGCATTAATCATTGTTAGATTTGTATTGTTGATTGTCATTTATACTTAGAAATATTTAACCATATATGCTTAGAGGTGTATAATCATTTGTAGATTGAAAGAATGTCTCATCCTAGGAGGTCTGTAACA